GAGTCTGAGGCCAGCCTGGGCTACAAAGTTAGTTCAAGACCAGCCTGAACTGCATAGTGAAACCTTATCTCAAAAAGAGAAAAAAAAGAACCAAGCAAGAAACAATGACAAAATAGACAAATTCACACGACACAACTGTAGTTTTCTAATGTAATTTGAAATCTGGGATTGTGATGTCTCTTGATTTTTACGTTTGACCAGGATTGTTCTTGCTGTGCTGGCCCTTTTCTGGTTTTATATGAATTTTAGGAATTGTTTTCTCTAGTTCTTTGGGAAATGCAGCTTGTATTTGGGGGGGCGGGGGTACTGGGAATAGAACTCAGGACCTTGTGCTTGTCAGGCAGGTGCTGTGCTGCAGAGCTATATCCCCAGCTCCTTGTATTTTGATTAAGGCTACAACAATAGCCTTATCGTTTCTACCTATCCAGGAACATGGGATATTTTTTCATTTTCTGATATCTTCTTTGATCTCCTTTTTTTTTGGTTTTTCTCCGGTATCTGGAACCGAACTCACGACCTTGTGCTTGCTAGGCAGGCGCTTTGCCGCTGAGCTAAATCCCCAGCCCCTTGTTCTCCTGCATTAGTCTCCCAATAACCAAGATTTTATTAAAAATTTCATTGGGCTGGGGATATAGCTCAGCGGCATGGCACCTGCCTGGCAAGCTCAAGGTCCTGAGTTTGTTTCCTGGGTGCAAAAAAAAAACAACATTCAAACATACAGAAACATGAAATCGTTTAATAAACATCTAATACCCATTACCTAGAGCCTATAATTAACATTTTACTATATTTTCTTTATCTATCACATACTTATTCATTTATTCATCTTTTTCACATTGATCTGTTTTATGATTTATATTATTTCTCTTTTTTCTTTTGGTCCAAAAACTGAGCTCCTGATCTCACTGGCAAAATGATACTGGAATTACCCCTAAGGAGGGAAAAAGTTCTTGAGGGCAGGGCTCAGAACTGGAAAACTTGAGATATCTGTGTGTACCATATATATTAGCAGTACAGGGAGAAACTGCGGGCTGCCTAAGAATCTTTTTCCCTGTGAAGTTTTTAATCCTTTTTTCTCTCTCACCTTCATGTACTTGTTGAAGACAGTCTGGATCTCCTCATTGATGCTAGGCTGCAGGACAGCTCGGAGGAGATCCATAGAGATGGCAGGATCTGTAAAACTGCATTCAGGAGGGACATGGAATCAGAGGATTCCATATCCTTTTCCAATCTGACCAGCCTATTATTGATACAAGATCCTTTAACAGCAATTCTAGAGAGCTTTCACTGAACATAGCTATGTGCTAAAATTCTGGGCAAATATATAAGATGCATGATTTTGTTCCATTCTCATAACTAGGAAGCAAGTGTTATTTTCAAAGTGTTTCATGAAATATTTATGCAGAAAAGTCTACATACTTTAATAAATAAGTATAGAGTTACCTATTTAATCCTCACCCAGCTGAAACAATACAACCAGCCACCAAAGGCCCATCTTGTGCTCTCTCCCTTTCCTGGGCTGGATACTGTTTGTAACCCCACTCTACAGCTGAGAAAACAGAGCCAGGGAGGTTAAGCGGCTTGTCTAAGGTTACTCAGTTAATAAATGTCAGTCTGCATTAGAACACCGTTGTCTGACTCCAGAGCCTGTGCTCTACATTTTCATGCTCTTTGACTTTAAAGATCAACCTCAGAGCCAGTCAATGTTAGAAATCTTACAGTATTAACCCCCGCTCCCCAACTTTATAGATGAGTTCAGAGAGGTAAGTGCCTTGCTCAAGATCACACATAGAAACTTAAGTGTCCTCTTTCCCTGTCCAGTGTCCTTTCCACGGGCTGTAGATCTCTTCTCAGCCTTGTGCCACGGGGATCCCAAAGCTCCCCTCCAAGTCCGTGCCTGGGATACAAGCCCAGCCAGGGCCAGCCTTACCTTGTGGTCATCTGGGAGCGGCGGCCCCTTCGCTGCACCTGCCGGTGCTTTATCATTATGTTCCAAGGGTTCTGCGAGGATGAAAGGAGCAAATGTCACCGACCTCAGTGACACTGGGATAGGATGGACAAGAACAGGTAGCTAAATCTAGACATTGCTACTTTTCAGATTCTTTCACCACCTCTGCCACCTTGGGGAATGTGGGAGAATGAGGCACTGCCGAGGCAGAGTAAGTGAGAAAAAGTTTCCTGCTTTAAAAGTCCCCACCCCGCCTGTTCTAGAACGGAAGCAGGAAGGGGACCAGTGTTTACCGAGGGTCTACTCTATGGCAGATGTGCTGGGCGCTTTACCCGCCTTCATCATCTCATCCCCACAACTTTATGAGGTTGCTACTAATTTCCATCTAAAAAGAAGAGGAACCCGGAGCTTAGGGGGTTGTCTGACAGGCCCAAGTCACCTAGCCAGGAGGGCGGCCCCGGAATGCGAACCCGGTCGTCCGACTGTGAAAACGGCAAAACCCTCGGCAGCATCAGCCGCCGCATTCTCTGCCCGCGGGCCAGGGTCCCGGGAGCCCGAGGCCCTGCCCAGCCCGAGCCCGGGCTTCAGTGGGAGCGCCCTCACCGTCAGAACCAGCTGCCCTGCTGCGCCTGCATCGCCCAGCTCGGGGCCGCCCCGTTCTGTCCCGGGAGGTCCCCGCGGCTGTTCGACGTCGCCAGTAGCCCCCATGGCGTCCCGCACGCCCACAACCTCAACCCGACTCTGCCACCGGCCGGAAAGCGGTGCCGTGACGTCACGAGGACGCGCCACTCGCTGGCCCGGAAGTGCTGCGCGAGAGCTGCGTGGTTACCATGGTAACCAAGTGCCTTCTGCGTAGGTCCCGGACTTTTACAGAGGTGGTTGGGGATTCCTCCCGGGGGGGCCGTGTCTCCGGGTGGAGTGTGGATGTTCTGCGGTTGTTCCTTCAAGGGCGGTTACCACTTAGGCCAAGGGCCGGGGATGAGTGTAGGGTAGGAAGAGCAGAGCCGGTGTCCTTGGGCTGGGGCTGGCGGAAGAGGGGAGCGCCTGCAGTTGAGTTTTTCAAAACTGAAGTTTCTAATATTCCTGGCGCAAGCTCCAGAATTGGAGTCGGCCTAATGCGGGGACCAAGAAACCCAAGAAGGTGCAATCTGTGCCATCCCAAACACCCATCGGGTCTCTCCAGTTTTTGATATCAGGGCTTGATTATGGTGTCTGAAAGCATCAGAATAAGGTTGGGTCTTGGCAGTGGACTTTTGCCCGAGGGAGCTGTGCTTTTCTCTCTAGATGGGTGATTTTGTGATGGTCTGGGGTTGAGTGGCTTAATAGCTCCCACCTTCCCCCAAAGATTCTTCTCGGTCTATCAGAGGGAAGGTGCCCCTGAATAGAACTGGATTCATAGGCGGGCGTGGTGGTACATGCCTGTAATTCCAGCACTCGGGAGGCTGAGGCAGGAGGATCACTTAGAGTTCAAGACCAACCCGGGCTACACAGTGAGTTTAGAGCTAGCCTGAACTACCTAACGAGACCCTGTCTCAAAAAAAAAAAAAAAATTGGATTAATTTATGGATGCTAGAGAAAGTTATTTCTTCCCGGGTCATGATATTGGGTAGTGGAAAGTAATGAATTGCGCAGTTGGAAAGTTATGGGTTCAAATGAGATGCGGAGTGGTGGTTAAGAATATTGGCTATGGAATCGGACTGCTTTGCCTTTGTTCTACCACTTACTAGTTGTGTGACCCATATTTCTTAAGCTTTTCATGCTTCAGTTTTCTCAACTACAAAATGGGAATAAAAGCGCCTACTTTATGGGGTTGTAGTGAGGATTGAACTAATTCGTGCAAAGCACTTACAATCGGCACAAATAAACCTTCAAACAATGCTATCTGTTGCTACTATGGAGTTCCAGCAGCCACCACTTAAGGCCATTTTTCAGCCTCTCCTGCAAGATTACTTTGTGGATTAAAATACATAGCATTTTAGTAGGCTGGGTATGGTGGCGCTGGGTGTGGTGGCACATGCCTGTAATCCCAGCCCCCAGGAGGCTGAGGCAGGAAGATTACTGAGAGTTCAAGGTCAGCCTGGGCTACAAAATGAGCTCAAGGCCAGCTTGAACTGCATGGCGAGACCCTGTCTCAAAAAGACCAAAAAAACCCCCAAACAAACGAACAAACAAAAAAACCATAGCATTTTAAAGCATATACTAGGTAACAAGCAAATGTTCATTATATCCATGCTACAGTATCAGCCTAACTAAGAGGAGCTTCCTTGCACCAAAATCTTAGACAGTATTAAAGAGGTTTTTACTTTGTGCTTTCGTTTGACCCTGCTCTTTAACTCTAGAGGGCTAAGCAGTGCCAGTGCCTACCACAGATATCACAGCTGACCAAAGACATAAACGAGACAGATAAATAAAAATAAAGAGAAATGAAGAAAAGATAACGAAAGGAGTCATATATGGACAAGAGAATTTGAATCATAGCAATTGTTCTCTTCAATTTAGCCAGTTAGCTTTCTTTCTTTCTTTTTTTCTTTCCTTTTTTTTTTTTTTTTTTGTCTTTTTGAGACAGGGTCTCGCTATGCAGTTCAGGCT